GCACAGTGAGGGCCACGCGCGGATTCAAATTAGACCTCGCCATCCCTGGGGGGCTGCGATCTGCGAAACTGCCGCCATTTTCGAGGCCTGCTGGGGGGCCCAGCACAGTGAGGGCCACGCGCAGATTCAAATGAGACCTCGCCATCCCTGCGGGGCTGCGATCTGTGAACCTGTCGCCACTTTCGAGGCCTGCTGTGATCCCCGTTTTCGAAGTGGCTAGGAGTGCTCAGGAATTGTAAAGCATCAGCTTTATCAAGCCCTTTTCCTGTAGCCAGTGTCCTGCGAGTCTCCCGAATTCCGTCTGCAGACATATGTAACCCTCGCTCCGTCATCGCCCCCTTATAAAGTATCCTAAACTATTTGCGCCCCGCTTTTGCGCAGGGGTTGGGTACGTCGCCAGGGTAATTTTTGGACAGGAATTCAATAGGAAGTGGTCGAGTCCCAGCTTCCAGAGGAATTCCTTAGTAAACTATTTGCAGTTGAATCTGATTTTTAATAGGAAATCGTCAAGTCCCAGCCTCCAGAGGAATTCCTTAATATCTATTGGTTTCTGAATAGGATTTCCATCGGAAATGGTCGAGTCCCAGCCTCCAGAGGAATTCCTTAATAATCTGTTTGCTTTTGAACAGGGTTTCAATATGACACATGCTTACTAAGAGTAAGATTTCTTTGTTTTTTCGCCGGCGTCGTGCCCGAACACGAAACCGAACCCGAACCCTTACTCTTTACCATTCATTCGAACCTGGTAACACAAACTACGTTTAGCCCTAGTAGTAGTAGTAGTAATGTTAGTAGTAGGCTCTAGTCGTAGAAGTAGTAGTCGTCGTAGTAGTAGTAGTAGTAGTAGTACTAGTAGTCGGAGAAGTGACCATACGAGTAGAAGTAGTAGTAGTAGTAGTCGTAGTAGTAGTAGTAGTAGTAGTAGTAGTAGTAGTAGTAGTAGTAGCAGTAGTAGTAGTCGTAGTAGTTGTGGTAGTAGTAGTAGTAGTAGTAGTCGTCGTAGCCGTCATGCTGCTAGTCGTAGAAAGAGTAGTAGGAGAAGTCGTACTAGTAGTAGTAGTAGTAGTAGTAGCAGCAGCAGCAGCAGCAGTAGTAGTAGTAGTAGTAGTAGTAGTAGTAGTAGTAGTACGAGTAGTACTAGGAATACTACTACTAGAAATAGTACTAGCAAGAGTAGTCGTACCAATCGTAACACTATTAGTGGTACTAGTAATCATAATAGTGGTGTTAAAAATACTAGTAGTAGTAGTAGAAATAGTAGTAGTAATAATAGAAGTAATAGTCGTAGTAGAAGTAGTCGGTGTAGTCGTAGCAGTCGTAGCAGTAGAAGTAGCTGAGGTCTCAGTAGTAGTAGTAGTAGTAGTAGTCGTAGTAGTCGTAGTAGTCGTAGTAGTAGTAGTAGTAGTTCATCGTAATACTAGTCGTAGTAGTAGTAGTAGTAGTAGTCGTAGTAGTAGTAGTAGTAGTAATAATACGAGTAGTAGTCGTAGTCGTAGTAGTAGTAGTAGTAGTAGTTGTTGTTGTAATAGTAGTAGGAACAGTCGTAGTAGTAGTAATAATAACAGTTGCAGGTGTAGGAGGTGGACGAGGAATACAAGTAGCAGCAGCAGTATTAGCAATAGTGAAGTAGTAGTAGTAGTAGTAGTAGTAGTAGTAGTAGTAGTAGTAGTCATAGAAGTAGTAGTAGTAGTAGTAGTAGTAGTAGTAGTAGTAGTAATAGTAGTAGTAGTAGTACTAGTAGTAGAGCTAGTAGTAATAGTAATAGTAGTAGCAGTAGTAGTAGTAGTAGTAGTAGTAGTAGTAGTAGTAGTAGTGGTAGTAATAGCAGCAGCTGTTGTAGATGCAGTCCTAGATTGGTTCCCCGGCCCCCCCCCACGCAAACACTGTTGTGAACACTGTGCGAACTGAGAATTTCGCTATTTTTGACCCCCGGGGGGCCCTCCCCTGGCCTTGGGACCGTCAAACAACGACTCAGGACAAAAAGCCGGTCCCAAGGCCGGATTCGAAACCTTTGCGGGCCGACGCTGCGACAAAATCACAACATCGGGGGTCTGGGAGATGTGGGGGTCACTGAAAAGAATTACGCTGGGTTCAGTCCAAGACTAAGCTGGACCTAGCCGGGATTTAACAACATCAAGCCGTATTGAGCCAGACTCCACGGGATTAGGCTGTTTTCCGACCAAGGATCATACCAGGGCCGATTCAGAATTCAATCTCGCAGGAACTGCATCATAGGATGTTGGTCTGCTTCTGAACAAGTCTGCGAGCTCCAGCCCAAGGAGATGGGAACGGCCGGCATGTGCCGAAAAGCAGCGTCGGCGCCAACGCTCGGCATCGCACACTTCCCGACCACGCAAACCCGCAGGTGGGCCCAGGCATCCGACGCCGTGACTCTGCTCACAAGGTGAACCACCAAAGGCCCGGACCTTGTCTCCAGGACAGCTTCTCGTCCCGAATCGTTTTTGGGACGTTCCCGGGGCCCGTCGAGGGGTCTTCAGAGGCAGACTGGCACGGGTCTCTTTGCGGCGCCCACACAAAGGGGTTGGCGGGATGGGGGCTTGCTTTCTGAGAAGACGGAGGGTTTCTTAGAAGGCAGAGGCCTTCATAGAAGGCCCTGGCGGCTTCCAAGAAGGCCTCCTCGAGACGAAGACGGCTTCCATAGAAGCCTCCCTGCCTACTTGGAAACTTGGCACGCCCAAAATGGGTACGGGAGAACATTGGTACGATCTCCCCCAAAAGCAAATGTTGTCCAGCACCGACTGCCGCCGCTGGACAGGGCGACTTTTGCATCGAGTGGACACCATCCGCGGCGATAACGACAGCGCGCCCTGCACAGCATGGATGAAGGGGTCCCAGGACACACAAACAAATAAACACAAATAAAAAGATTCCCCATATTTTCCTATATTTTCTGGGTTTGCGTCTTCCCCCCCACTTCCCATATTTTTGTATATTTTCTGGGGAATCGACGATTAATTGTCTGTGTGTTTTTTTCCCTCCTGAATGGACCAGAATTGCTGTGGGCCTTGGTCTCCAGTCCGATTCCGTACTGCCAGCGTGCCGCCAGAAGGACCTGTGCATAGGGGCACGGCGAGCCCCGGCCACGAAACGCACCCCCAAACTAAGCATGGCGGGTTCCGGCAACTTGAACCCAACAATTGGGCGCCCGAGTTATCCGGGGTAACTCGGGTCCAGGGTAACTCGGGTTTGGATTCCCGGAAAAGGAACCCGAGTTAGCCCTGACCCAAGTTACCCCTGATGATTCGGGGCTCTGGACGCCCGAGTTATCCGGGGTAACTCGGGCCAGGGGTAACTCGGGTTCGGATTCCCGAAAAACGAACCCGAGTTAACCCTGACCCGAGTTACCCCTGATGATTCGGGGCTCTGAAACAACGCTTCCATCTCTTGAGAATTCGACGTTTGCTGCCGCCGCCCTCCGCCGGCCTTCCGCCGGCTTCCGCCGACCTTCGGCCGCGGCGGAGATGGCAACTCCTTCGATCCTCGAAGGCAAGGCCCTTTTTGGAACGCCCCACATGAGGCGCCGCCCGACAGCCAGAGCCGCACCCGAGCCCAAAGCCAGCGCCGCTCCCGAGCCCAGAGGAGGGGGAGGAGGAGGAGGAGGAGGAGGAGGAGGAGGAGGAGGAGGAGGAGGAGGAGGAGGAGGAGGAGGAGCAGGAGGAGGAGGAGGAGTAGGAGCAGGAGGAGGAGGAAGAGGAGGGAGGAGGAGGGCGAGGAGGCCCCCCCCCGAGAGCCAGGTCCCGCTCCGGAGCCCAGAGCGGCACTCGTCTCACGCTGCCCGCTGGGTCGTCGGGCCACCACTCGGGCCTGCGGCGGCCGTTCAACAGCTCTCTCGGCGGGGGGCAGCTGCTGAAGAGCCTCCCGCGGTCGGAGGGCCGACGAGGACCAGCAGCACCGCACGAAGATCTGGAGCCTCCCCCGCCCTGTTCCCCTGAGCACATCCCCCCTGAAGTCGCCCCTCATGACGGTCGACGCGAGTTATGAGGATGCGCAGTGAGGATGCAGGCCCTTGGACGCCCAGGCTGAAGTGCCTCGAGCTGGGGATTGCAGGCTAAGGATTCTATGCCCAAGGATGGGCCGAACAGGCACGGATGCACGGGTGCCCTTGGGAACGCCCACCTTACCATGCGTGTTGAGTGTACCCCTCCTCCTCCTGGCCTTCGGCCAACCGTCCCTTCCCCCTTAGCCCAGAGTAAGAGGCAACACTGCGTACACATAAGAAGTGTTCGGAGGTTCGCGCGGATTTCTTTAATCCGCGCGGACCTCAGGGGCAGTTGGGGATCAGCAGCTTCCATGCAGCACCAGCTGGCACACCGATCTCTGCTTTGGAAAAAAACGCACCCTATAGAACTGTCGGAGGTCCGCGCGGACTTCTTGAGTCCGCGCTGTGCCCTCATCCCTGGCGTGCGGCGCGCGCAAGGGGGCGGCGCCGGAGGCGCCGCCAGGGGGGCCCAGCGCAGGTCCAAGACATCCACGCGGAGCTTCGCGAGTTTATCGCTTGTGCAGCCTGTCTTCTCCGACCCCCTTGGGCCTGTCCCACCCGCCCTCGAAGCGCTGTCCCTGACAGGGGGCTCGGTGGCAACGCACGGGGGCATGCCATGCCACCTTGCTGGCCCTTGCACATCGATGCTGACAGCCGCTGGCCGACACTGCTCGACGCTGAATCGACGATGATCGACGCCAGATCGTCGCTTTTCTCGTCGGTTGTACCAGACGCTTGTGCACGCGAACGCTCCCTACGCACGGAGTGACGAAGACACACAAGGCTCCCATGATTTGCTACCGAACCCAACGTTCGGTCGGGCATGTCCTCCTACATGCGAATTCTGGAACACAAATGAAAGGAGTCAAACATATCGAAAAAGAGTCAGAAATAGTCAAAAACTCATCCCCGGACTATTTCTTCAATATGCTTGAATATTCCTCCTGTAGAAGGGACATGCCCGGCTCAAACCCATCGTTGCCTCTGAGAGGGGGCGCTCCTCCCAGTCCAGGGGGTGTGGTCGAAGCAGTCCGCGCAGAAGGCCAGCAGGTTGGCGGCAGCGCGCCTGGTGCCCCGGCGCGGGGGACCAGCGCTCCGACGCGCGCTCGCGAGGGGGGCCAGAAGGCCCTCAAGGTTCGAGGCCCCCCCCATCCTCCCTCTCCTCCTTCCTCCTCCTCCTCATCCCTCCTCCTCCCCTCCTTCTCCTCCTCCCCCCGCCTCCCCCTCCTCCCCCTCCTCCTCCTCCTCCCCTCATCCTCCCCCTCCTACCTCCTCCTCCCCTCCTCCCCCTCCTCCTCCTCCTCCTCCTCCTCCTCCCTACCTCCTCCTACTCCTCATCCTCCTCCTCCTCCTCCTCCTCCTCCTCCTCCTCCTCCTCCTCCCCTCCTTCCTCAACATCCCTCCCCTTCCTCCTCCTCCTCCTCCTCCTCCTCCTCCTCCTTCTCCACATCCGCCTCCTCACTCTCCTCCCTCAGCCCCCTCCCCTCCTCCTCCCTCCTTCTCGTTCCTCCCGCCTCCTTCCACCGCTCTTCCAGCAGCGTCCTCATCCTCCTCCTCCTCCTCCTCCCCATCCTCCTGCCTCCTCTCCGCCTCCTCCTCCTCCTACCTCCTCCTCCTCCTCCTGTGGCTCCCTCCTCCTCCTCCTCCTCCTTCTCCTCCATCTCCTCCTCCTCCTCCTCCTCCTCCTGCTACTCATTCTCCCTCCTTCCTCCTCCTCCTCCTCCCTCCTCCTCCTCCTCCTCCTCCTCCTCCGCTCCCCTCCTCTCCTACTCCTCCTACTTCCCTCCTTCCCTCATTATTCCCTCTCCTCCTCCATCCTCATCCTCCTCCTCCCCTCCTCCTAACTACTCCTCATCCTCTCATCATCCCTCCTGCGCCTCCTCCTCCCTCTCCTGCTCTCTGCTCCTCCTCCCTCCTCCTCCTCCTCTCGCTCCTCCTCCTCCTCTCCTGCTCCTCATTATCCTCCTGCTCCTGACCTCCTCCCCACTCCTGCTCCTCCTCCTTCCTCCTGCTCACTTCATCCTCCTCTCATCATCTCCCTCCTCTCCCTCCTCCCCCCCCTCCTCCTCCTCCTCCTCCTCCTCCGCCTACCTGCCTCCTCCTGCCTCCGCCCTCCTCCTCCTCCTCCTCCTCCTCCTCCTCCTCCTCCTCCTCCTCCTCCTCCTCGGTCCACCGAGGCGCGGGGACCGTAGGCCCAGGGGGCGGTGTTACCTCGCGCCGAGGAGTCGCTCCGTCTGAGAGAACTTGCAAGCCCTGAGCGAAGTCCTCCCTCCCTCCTCCCTCCTTCCTCCCTCCCCATTCCCGGATAACTCCTTTCGGGCTGGGCGAAAAGGGGGGATAGCAAAGGGGGGGGGTGAGAATCAGCTCAAGTAGCTGATTTTCCCCGCGCCTCCCGGCGCCGGAGGCGGCCATGTATCGAGGAATGGGCCCATCGATGGGGCCGAAACCAGCTATATGCAGCAATTTTCGTAACACCCCCTTTCCCTATCCCCACCTTTCGTCCGGCCCGATCCTTGGAGAGCTGTAGGGGAAGCTGGCACCGCAAGGTAGCCCCGGAGCTCGTTCCAGCTTCCGTGGAATCTCCGGCGCGGCTTGCCCGAGGTTGCCGCGTGTTCCAGAAGGCGTTTTTCTAAGCGTTTCCCAGTACGTCTGCCCGGAAGCTCTCCAGAAACTCCTTCGGAAGCTCATTCCAGTAGCCGCCAGAGCTCCTTCGAGAGGCCTTTGGACGGCCTCATGGTGCTCCGCTATCCAGGCGTTGGACTACGCAAGTTCCTCCAACATGCACAGTCCTCCTTTTCTGCTTAGGCACAACACAGTCGTGTCCTTTGGGGGGTTCTCGGTTCACTGCGTCACCCGTCGGCGAATAGAGGGAGAAATCAGCACAATGGGAAGGGATGGGTGGCAGGGGTAGGATGTCAGATATGGCGCGAGCGCGCAGAGCTTGTCCCTCCCTCCTTCCTCCTCGCCCTAGCGAAAAAAAGTGCCCCTCGGGCATTTCCTAGCCACAACCGTGACACACCCGAGGGACTGTTCAATGGCGACCCGCTCGCAGACCCGCCAGGTCGGTCATAGATGCTCCTCCCTCCTCCTCCCTCCCTCCCTCCTCTCTCCTAATCATCCCGATCCCCGCTGATAGACCTCCTCTCCTCTCCCTCCTCCCTTGCTCCCTCCCTCCTCTTTCTCCCCTCCTCCTCCTCCTCCTCCTCCTCCTCCTCCTCTCCTCTCGTCCTCCTTTCCCTCCTCCTCCCTCTCCTCCTCCTCCTCCTCCTCCTCCTCCTCCTCCTCCTCCTCATCCTCCTCCTCCCCCTCATCATCCGCCCTCTTCCTCCTCCGCCCTCCTCCTCCTCCGCCCTCCTCCTCCTCCGCTCTCCTCTCCCGCGCGCTCCGGGTTCGTGGACCAGGGTTCCGTCCAGGAAGTCTGGAACCGTCTTGGGGGCAATCCTCGGGCCCCTGCAGGGGCTCTGTGGGGACTCAGCAGCGTGGGAACCTCCGCCGTGCTGGGCCAGCCAGGCTTGGCGGCCGACAGCTGGGGGCGCCTCGGGGGAGGGCCCCGCACATCCAGGGGCCCAAAGACCGGCAAGTCATCGTCCTCTGCGGCGGATGATGGTGCAAGAAAAGATAGCCCCAACACGGCCTAAGAGGCACACAAGACGGCCCCAAGAGGGCCCAAGATGGCCCCGAGACGGCCCAAGAGACCCCTCCAGGGAGCTCCCGAGACTCCCGTCAAAAGACTCGAACGACGCCGGATTCACAACGAGCCCTCAAGCAAACGGAAGAGATGCGACAATGTGGGCCAGCGGAACGAACGAAACGATTAAATATTGAGCAGGGACCGACCGTCCCGGCATTCCTACAGGCCTACCACGGGATGCTCTCAGGGACCCCCAAATGTTCGACGGACAAAATCAATGTTCTTAGAACGTGAGCCCGACGTGCTGAAACAGCACGGTCTCAGCCACAGATGTTCGAAGAACTGCTCGTGCAGACCACGAAAGGGTTCTCAGAACATTCTGTCGTGGGCCTGCAGGCGAGCCAGGACGCTCCGCCCCTGCCTGGGAAAAGGCCAGCGGGAACAGGACGGCGGCGCGTCCCCGGGGCGAAAGGGCCGGCGGACCGAGCACGGCCCTCCCGAGGTGCAGGCGCTTCTGGATCCAGGCTCTCTCCAGAGTCGTTCGCGTGGCGTGGGGAGGGCTGCTCGCTCAGAAATGGATGGGCCTGGCTTCTCCACCACCACCACCACGAGTTGGATAGGGGGAAAGGGGAGGAGGAGGAGGAGGAGGAGGAGGAGGAGGAGGAGGAGGAGGAGGAGGAGGAGGAGGAGGGACGGAGGAGGAGAGGAGGAGGAGGATGGGAGGAGGAGGAGGAGGAGGAGGGAGGAGGGAGGAGGAGGAGGACCCCCTCCCCTCCAACTTATGGCCCATCAGAAACGTCGCGGATGCGGCCAGAGTCCGCTGGCACAGAGCTCCCGGACGTCATCGCCACTGCGCTTCGTTCCGAGCTCGGTGCGCCGCCCCCCGTCGCGGCGCAGGGCAGCCACTGCCACATGCGCGCACTCTGCGCCAAACTTCGAGCACGGAGCGGCGTGCCCTAGAAGTTAAAGGGGCCCAGGGACACACACACACACACACATACATATATATATATATATATCTATATATATATATATAGATATGTGTATATATAGAGGCACAAATAACAGGATTCCCACATTTTCTAATATTTTCTGGAATTTCGTCTTCGCCCCCACATCCCATACTTTCCCAGATTTTTCTGGGAGTCGACGTTTCATTGTGTCTGTGTTTTTTCCCCTCCTGAGCAGTCAGGGGCCGAAGAACGATATTCGCCGGCCCAACGGGCCAGGGCGTGCTAAGATCTCCGGTACCTGGTTAACAGTATTTCTAGTTCGCGCGCGCGGGGCGGCCGGACGAAAAGTACCCCGGCAAGGTCCCGGCAAGGTCCCGGCAAGGTCGGGTCAGAGATGCCGGAGTTCTGTTACAGGGCCCCAGGACGGGCCAAGAGGTCCCCAAGAAGCCTCCAAGACGGTCCAAGAGGGCCCCGAGACGGCCAAAGATCGCCCGAAGACGCCCAACAGGGCCCCAAGACAGCCCAAGAGGCCTCCAAGACGCCCCAAGGGCCTTCCAAGAGGCCTCCGAAGAGGGCCCCAAGAGGCCAAAATCGTTGATTTTCATTGTTTTTTATATGTTTTTTGCGTTCTGGCTTTTTCGGCTTCCGGACGCTCCAAGACGGCCCAAGAGGCCCCCAAGACCGCTCCAAGACGGCCCACGAGGCTCCCAAGACGGCCCCGGAACGGCCCAGGAGGGCCCCCAAGACGGCCCAAGTGCCGCCCAAGACGGACCAAGAGGCCCCAAGACGGGCCCAAGAGGGGCTCAAGAGGGGAACCGAGAACTGAAAAATCGAGCCCTCCGCCCCAGAAGGCGCCCAGGAGGCCCCAAAAAGGCCCCAAGAGGCCCCCAAGAGGCCCCCAAGACGCCCCAAGAGGCGCTCAAGAGGCCCGAAAGAGGCCCCAAGAGGCCCCAAAACAGCCCCCAAGAGGCCCCAAAACTCGGCTAGCCCACAACGGTGCGACAATATGGGCCGGCGGAATGAGCGAAGCGATTAAATCAAATCAATGTTTCGCCGTCGGGGACGCCTGTTCCCCCGGGCGGCTGCAAAAAAAATCGCCCCACGGTGCCACGCAGGGGCATAAACTTTGCGGCCGGCCGGGGGAGGGGCAGCCGTCCCCGACGGCGGCACAGTTTATGTTATACCGTTCTTCCTCCCCCCCAAAAAAGGCTGGTGCAACTGTGAGCGTTGGAGGGGGTCCAAAAGGCCCTGAGCCCCGACCGCATGGAATCCCTGGGGCCTTCCGAGCCTCCATGCGTCCCAAAAACCGTTGAAGGCCACAGGCATGGCAACTCTGGGCTCCCTAAGTGCGCCCGGTCGCAAACCAACCCACCAGATGGCAGATCGGACAACGAGAGAAGGGTCCTGGCTGTTCAATCGCTCGTGTTCCCATGCCTTTCCTCATGCGCCTGATCACCCCCGAACAAACACGTGTAGCTCACGACTCCACTCCAGGGGCCGATACTTCGCAACGTGTTGCTGCCAGGCAGCTTCGGAAGACCGAACCTATGAACAGAAGCCAGCCGTCGTGACTCCTTCACGGCGCCCAGAGGTCCAGTCACAGTGTCATAAAAATGGCGACTGCGCCTGGAACGCGCCAAGGTGCCAGAAGGTAGCCCAGGGCCAGGGACGCGGAACGCACGCAAAGAATCGCCAGAATCGAGGGAAGCCCGGGCACCTTGCTGCAAAGACTCATCCCCAACTTCGGAGATGACGGCATGGCTTAAACATGCTTGCGTCCCCGCAGTTGGCCCTTTGCCTCTCCAGGCGACGCTGCGACGCGCGCCCGCGCGCCCCACCCGCGCGCATGAGCCGCTTCGCCGCCGCCGGGTCGCCGTGGAGCAACGCTCGCTGGGCGCACGCGGCCCTTGTGATCCGCGGCCGCTCCCGCAGAGGTTAAGAGACAACTCCTGCTGGGTCATCGCGGGAACGGTTACGGGCTGCGAAGTAAGAAGTAAGGTGCTGCTAAGCTGGATGAGGCAAGAAACAGCACCATGCTGTGTAGGTTCTGTGCCACATTGGGCTGCAGGCAACCGAATGAGGCCAGATTCGGCCGGGCAGGTCCCGAAGAAGCTTGGCGGCTCGCACAAGGGAGTGGATGGAGGGAGGGCTTCCCCCTCCCCCCACCCCCTCTGCGCGTGGCTGAGAAGCACTCCAGCCAGTACTGGATTCGACCTCCCCACGAGCTGGAGCTTAACCAAAGGGGAGCCTGCGGGGGCGTGCGAAGGCTTGGGACACGTTCTCGACCCCCAGAGACTCGCACACGCCGAGCCCGAACTTTAGCTGCCTCTTCGGCCTTCAGGGACCTCTGTCGGGCCCCCGGACCGTGACGAGAAGCTCGTCCCGAGGAGAGGCGTCGCGTGGTCCGGAGGACCGGGGCCCCGAGAATCGAGGCTGCCGCATCGGAGGACTGCCCCGTCCATACACCCGCACCGATGCCTGAAGAAGGCCCAGCCTGGGCCCCGGCCGGGCCGTATGTCTCCGGGTGGGGCACGGAAGGAGCCCGCCATGTGCACCCGCACCGATCCCTGCCAGGTTCCTCCCGGGCCCGGGGTCGCTGCCTGCGCCCTCCTGGCTCTGCCAGGGGGGGCACGTGCACCGATCCTCACTGCACCATGGAGCTGAGGCTGCGGCAGGAAAGTCTGGCACCGCTTCGCCTCGCTTGGCAGCGATTTGCAAATCCCGCGGCGCGTCAGAAGGGCCAGGGATCCTCACTGAAATGATAACAATAACGCCGATGCCAAATTACGAGAAAGGAAGAAGGCGGAGGCATCTGCCTCGACTGACCGAAGACGCAGACGTCCTTGGGACCTCTCCTGGTGTGCGGGCCAAGAGGAATTTCAGGGAGGATCGAGCCGTGGCCACGAGGGCGCCCTCCGAGGACGAACAATTCCTCAAGAGCCTTCACAAACATCGATCCTGCAGCTTAGAACCTCCCAACAGCAGCGCCGATGATTCATTACGACGACGATCACGATTCCAGTCGTCGTGCTACCACAAGACACGCCGAGTGAAGAACGAAGGGGCTTCTCTAGCTACGGAGACCCTCGGCCACGAATGCGTTCCCCGACCAAGGTCTAAGGAATGGCCCCGAAACCAAAGCCCCTCCAGATCAAAACTGCCATCACGACGACAACACAACGACAGCGACGATGACGGCGGCAGAGCGAGGCGGGGACTTCTCCATATTCACCGCCTGGGAGGATCGAGCTTCGGGGACCTCGGCAGGCGGTGGATGTGGATAGATTTGCCCCCCCCCCCCCAAGGGCCGGAATGAAGTTATCCATATCCACCGCATGCCGAGGTCCCCGAAGCTCCATTCCCCAGGCGGTCGATATGGATAGCCCCGAGATCCGACGTCACGAACATTGCAACACCGCAAAGGCGAAGAAACACGACCAGGACCCAAGACCCCAACTTTCTGCGACATTCTTTATGCCGGATCGATCGGTGAGGGTCCCGGGGCCCGCAAACTGGCGAACACGCCCAGTGCGAAAAAACTGTAGCGCACGGATCTCAGGGGATTCGGTCCCAGACATGCAATGTCCTGTTTCTTTCCATATGGGGTCCGTGGAAGTCCGACCCTGTCCCCAGGGCTGGCCTTTCATCCCGGATCGGCTTTAGATGGTCCCGGGGCCCGGCGAGGGCCTCTGGTGGTCAAAGACGGCCAAACATTTCTTTACGAGGGAAACGAGGTCTATACACCGACGCTTGTTTCCGACCCTGCGCTGAAATTCGCACAAGAAAGCTGATCCTGGTGTACAGTCGGGGCCCTGAAGAAGGAACCCTTTTCGTTGGGGAGGGGCTCCGCGTTCCTTAAGTGTTTCGCAGCTTGCCTCAGGTTTTCCTTATGTTTTCGATCGGGCATCGAAACTTTATCTCATGGAAAAAAGGGCCTCGTTCCTTATTTTGGGTTCCTTAGGTCAAGCCCCCGACTGTAATGTATATGTATCTGTTCCACTTTCCGAGTCACGACGCGGGCACCACTGGGGACACATCCCCGACGGCGGAGACGGGACGGTGCCACCCTGGCGTGCAGCGGGGAACCCCCGGCGGCGGCGGAGCGCGCGGCAGCTCGCGGCCATGACGTCCGCGGGCAGGCAGGGCGCCCAGCCCGTGGCCGCGCGAGCGAAGAGCCGGAGGTTCTCGAAGCCGCCTTGTTTTGAGCTGCGGCTGCAGGGGCCTCCTCTTGATGCTGCGTGGCGTCCCCACCGCCGACGGGCAACCACCAAAAGAAAAGACGAATCCTGGAGAGCTCGCCCAGCCCGAGGCACGGCGGCACACTGCTGCAGCACGGCGCGTGCGCTTGCCGAGGCCCTCGAGGAGCGACCCTTGCTCGTGTTGAAAGATCTCCGCTTCTTCAACGTTTTGGGACCCGTGTTTGTTGCGCTTTCAAATCCAGGATCGGCCCGTGGCCCACCTGCCCGTCCTCTTTCCCGCTTCCATTGCGTTGCACATGCGCTGCTGGACGACACAATGCCGCCTGCCCGGCGACCACTTTGCGGTGTGTTCATGCGCCATGGTCGAAAGAAAGACGACAAGTAGAACACGGGCAAAACGCCCCCGCGCTCCTCAGAACGAAAATGAGCGCAGAAGCGTGGTGCCACCGCGCTGTGCACGCGCTTCGGCACACACGTTCAAGACCTCCATTTTCTGAGCGTGCTCCCCTCTTTTTCCGCGTGACCTTCTTCTCCCGCCGGCCGCTGAAGGCTCTTGCTGCTGAAGTAAAGCCGCCGCATGGCGTCGAGAATCGCGACGCGCGATGCGTCACCCGCGCAATCATCCCCGCGCCCCTGCGCAGGCGCCATGGCGAAGGGACGCCTTTACGGCCCTGGTCGCGGCGCGCGAAGTGCGGTCCCAGCTTCGCGTCCCTGGGCATGACCTGGGAAAGCGACGGAACAGTAGGTATGTTGATCTGGAGTCGGGTAAAACACGCGCCGATATTGTAATTGTTTGTCTGGTAGCGGTCGTTACCAAGAGGGGGGGAGGGGCGGGTCGCGGCAACGCTTGGGCGGGGTGGGGCGCGAGCACCAGCATGTGACGGGGGGGGGGTCCCTAAGTCCACCCTCTACGCTATACGTACGAATTCGTGCCATGGGGTACAAGCCTTCTGAGAAGGCCCGCCTCTTCTCACTTCCTTCCTTCGCTCGCCAGCGAGTCACCTCGACCAGCCTCGCACTCCCCCTGGCCCTTTGTGGGCCCTGGAAACGGCAGGGCCGTTTTTTCACCGTTTCCAAAAAATGTCCCTTGAAAATGGAAACGGCAAAAAAACGGCGACCGGAAACGGAAAAAAAACGGATCCAAGATTGGAACCGGTCAAAAACGGCGACGGAATCGGTAAAGAAACGGCGTCGGAACAGGCAAACAAACACGGCAGAAACGGACCGGCAAAAGAAGACGGCCCCGTCGTTTCCAGGGCCCACTATAGGCCCCTTCTCGCTTCCTTCCTTCGCTCGCCAGCGAGTCGCCTCGACCAGCCCCGCACTCCCCCTGGCCCTTTGTGGGCCCGGTAAACAAACGGCCCTGTCGTTTCTAGGGCCCACTATAGGCCCTGGGCCCTCCCCTGGCAGCGCAAGAGAAGCGGTCTCCTCCCACGCCGCGGCGTCGGGCTCCGCCCCGAGGGCGGCGCACTGGAAGAGGTAGAAGCTGACGTTCTCGGCGCCGTGCCGCCTGTGGGCCACCGCGGGCGGCTAGGCATGGCAGCGGGCCCGCAGCAGAAGGTTATGCGCGGGGAGGGTGCAACTTGCCATCGCTCGGGCGTCCATTCCCTGTGTTTCTGTTCGGTTTCGTGCGTGGTTCTTTCGCCAAATTATCAAGGATGTTCCTAGATGGTTCCTAGATGTTCCTAGATGGTCCTCGCCAAATGATCAAAGATGTTCCTAGATGGTACAGTCGGGGCGTTGACCTAAGGAGCCCTAAAGAAGGAACGAGGCCCCTGTTTCCCATCAGTGAAAATTCGATTTCCCATCGGAAAGCTAAGGAACACCTGAGGCAAGCTGTGAAACAATCAAGGAACACGGAGCCCCTCCCCAACCCAAAGGGTTCCTTCTTCAGGGCCCCGACTGTAAGGGCCCTGGAGGGCCACGTTAGCGTTTTTCGAGCGAGGTTGGCCAGCGAGAGTCGCTAGGGATAAGCCTAATGGGCAGGGATGCAAGGGTACCCTTGGGAGGGTTGCCCGTCCTTCCTATGCGGGTTGACTGTGCCAGTTCAAGAGCACTGCAACTGCAACTGCCAGATCAGCCACCACTTCGGCGCCCTTTGGACGGGGACTTCACCAACGGGTCCTCTGGCCAGCGGCCCAGCGAACCCGACCCCTCCCGATGCGGGCAAAGCTGCAACGCACAAACCAGGCCCTAGCGTGATCGAGATTACCGTCGAATGCCCTGACAAAAAAAGGTCGCGGGGCCGAGCCAGCGACTGGGCCATGCACGGCACACCGCTGAGAACTGAACGGGCGCACGGGCACCCGGGTGAACTTCCCCCTCTCCTCCTCCCGTTCTTCGCAGGAAAAGACAGCTCGAGTGCCGCCTCAACTTAGCGAATATGTTGAAGAGAATGGAGATCGTCTCGGGCGTGTCGCGGCACGAGCAGTGCGCCTGTCCCCAGAGCGCCGGGCAGGGGGCGAACTGCTGAAACAGGGGTCAAACCACCAGACGAGTGTTTCAGACTGAAGGTAGCTGCGTGCCGAACCGTGCCGCCTCTGGGAGAGCTCTGGCAGGGCATATGTGTGTATGCAGGTGTACACATGTCAAACCGTTCCTCGGAGAAACACACATGTCCATGTGTGTACACATACATCTATATCTGAATCATCAATGCCTCGCAATGCCCCCCCCCCTTCGTCTTGCCTCGCGTCTCTCCTGACCCAGTGCCCCTCTCCACCATCCAAGCGCTCTCTCTCTCTCTCTCTCTCCCTCTTGCTCTCTCTCATGCCCTCCACCTTCGCCCTCCAAGTATGACCTACAATCCTCCCGCCCGACCTTCTTTGCCACTACATTGTCCTCACGCGGCCCACTTTGATGCTTCTATCCGTGGGCCTCCATTCCTCATCCCCATCTGTCTCGCCATCCACGTCCTCATCGCCATCGCTGCTGCTGCCATCATCGTCGACGCACTCCTTCTCCCTCCCTCCCTGGCCCCCCTCAGCCTGCTCAGCTTCCTCTTTTCTTGCTCATTCTCCTCGTGCTCCTCCACTCGCCGCTTCCCACCTCGACTCTTTCCCGTTCCCCCCTGCTTTCCCTTCCCCCTTCTCCGCACCACCCGCCCTCTTGCTCCACCTATTCCTCCTCCTCCTCTTCCTCCTCTCCCTCCTCCTCCTCCTCCTCCTCCTCCTCCTCCTCCTTCTCCTCCTCCTCCTCCTCTCCCTCCCCTCCACAATTACACAATACGAATACTACTCTCATCTCTCTCCGGATGACGTTCGGAAAATGTCCTGCCCCCATCCAATTAGTGTTTTTTACACACAGGACTCCCGGGAGTTGGGTTTTCGCTGAAGTTGTACTTGGACATGTTGATCCCGATGAAATTCTAGTCTCGTTCTCAGGCTTCCGCTCGTTCCGAATCGCGCTCCCGCTGCAACGCTGGCCTCATTACCGCACTTCCGATCGTTCCGAATGGTGTTCCCGCTGCAACGCTGGCCTTATTTCCATGCTTCCGTTCGTTCCGAATCGTGCTCCCGCTGCAACGCTGGCCTCATTACTGCGCCTTCGCTCGTTCCGAATGGTGTTCCCGCTGCAACGCTGGCCTTATTTCCATGCTTCCGCTCGTTTCCGAATCGTGCTCCCGCTGCAGCGCTGGCGTCATTATTTCCAGTGCCATGCCACGGCATGGTTTTCGGTGCTTCCAATGAGGCCCCAAAATCTAGAGCATACCTCACCCCCAAACAAAAACCATCGGACGTGATTACATATCGGTGTCGTTTCGTTGACTGATTGGGCCGCAGAAGCTCCCCCCACACCTTGGGGCGTCGCCACGCCACGCCATGTCATGCCCCGCGCTGCTTTTCAACACCGTGCTATGCCATGTAATGCTACGCCATGCTGCGACATCCGACTGTGCGAATAGAGAGGAAGGATAGCTACGCCATGGTAAGGGATGAGAGGGAGGGGTAGGACGTCAGCTATGACGAGAGCGCACTTAGCTTATCGCCCCCCTTCCCTATCTGTCCCCTCCCTCCCCGCTCTTGTTCCCTACTCCATTCAAGCACTGGCTCGAAGCTCGCACACAGCATGATGCCCGCCCAGCGAAACTTCCGCACCTGGGCGCGTGCACGGCGCAGCGAGCGTCGTCAATCTCGTTTTGGTATGTTGCAGATCGCGGTCTCTAGCCTGGTGGTGGCCCAGATTCGCCAGACTGGCGGCTCTGGGCCACCAGCCGGCTAGACGCAAGAGGGACCCGAAAACGAGTGACCTCTGGTGCGCGGGCTTTTGGGGGAGCAAGGGGGCGACACCCATTGGCGCAGGCCGCTGCCATCGCCTCGCGCTCAGCAATCGGGAAACCCCGACGAACCCATGGTGGCAACTCGTGGGGGCCTCCCATACCAGCTTGTCGGCTCTTGCGAGTCGACGCTAACCGACGCTGAATCGACGCTGGCCCATGCTAAAACGACGCTCGTCGACGCTACATCGGTGCTATCGCGTCGACTCATGACGCTAATCGGCACTAGCCGGTGCGAAAAACTGAATTCGAAAGGGCGTCCTTTGGCGCGCGGCCTGAGCGGGGGCCTGTTGGGACACCGCCATGCGCACATGCCGCCACTGCCACGTCGCACTCAACGATCGGGGGGGCCCTGCGGGCCCGCACAGAAGTTCAAGCCAACGCAGACTCACTCTGACGCGTAGCCAATTGCTCACGGCCGAAACCGTTGAATAACCACCCGTCGCGACTCGCCACGCGACGCCCGTGTCCCAGGGTCGGGTCGGTCGACGAGGGGTGTCGCAGTCGGTGGGTCAGCGAATCTTCTCGCGCCAAATGTGAAGGAACGTGTCTGCGGTTTCATAAGCAGCTACTCGTGGACAGCCTGAGAATTCAGGAAACATGCAAGTGCATGACGCACGCAGACAAATAGGCGTTGTGACAAAATGAAAATCATGCCGACGCCGTTCGCTGGATTGGCGAAGTGGCACGCGGCGCGCGTGAAACGCAAATGCGCCCGCCCGCCCAAAATTGATCCACCCCGGACAACTCGAAGGCCTGGCTTGCGAGTCGACGACGCAACCCCGCCAAATCTGCAAATCTCCGACACCGCATCTGCGACGGCAGCGGCGGCGGCGATGCGGCGGAAGGCAGACAAGGGGGCAGGATCAGCAGCGCAGCCGCTGACAGGAACGACGGCGCCAAGAAAACGACGACGGGGCCGACGAAACCCGCGCGCGAAGGGAAGGTGGGGGGGCAGGGGCGCGGCATCGCCCGGGGAAAGGAGGGGGCGCAGAGGACGGGGGGGGCGACTGAAACTTGAACGAGGGCGGCGACTAGAACGGCCTCGATGGGGCTGCTAAGAACGGGCCCTTGGGACGGGGTGGGCAGGGCGAGGTAGAGGATAGTCAGTGCAAGCGGGCCCGGGCCGCGCGAAACTACAGGCCGACACGGAACTGCGAAGGGCCACGGGCCACCCGACACTTCTGCGATCCAAACTCTCATGCGGCTACTGTACCATTATCGCGCGACTGCCGATGACAAAACGTCCTGCGTGCCCCCGCGCGCCGATGACGTCGAGAGCATGCCGCCGCGGCCCGCGCGGCTGCCGCCGCTGCGAATTGCGAATAAGCCAGCAAGAACGCCCCCCAGACTGCCGCCGACGACGTGGACCTCCCCGTTCCTCGCCCCCACCCACCCCCCTCCCAAACCCCCCCTCCACCTCCGATCGCGCCCCCCCCCTCCCTTCCCCGTCGCGCGCCTTTCATCCTGCCCTCCGCCCTGTCCAATTAACGCTGTCCCCCCTGGCCGTCTGCGCCGCGACCCCCCGCGGCGACCCCCAATCCACGGCGCCGCTTGCATCCAGTCCAGCCCGCGCCGATTGCACCAACGCCTCGGGCATCGAGCTCGAGAGCCCCCAGAATTCTTGCAAGATGGCCACCGCGACCAAGGGCGGCGAAAGATACCCCCCAGGCTCCGCACCAGACGCCAGCACGATCGCCAAGGGGTCTCGGTCGGCGCGGCCCCGGGGCGGCCGCGATTCGTTTAGGTGTGTTCGAGGTGCGCCTCGCGAAATGTACAGAAAAAATTTGCTTAAACATAAAAAAGGTAAGCCCCGCATAAGCAATCCCTGGGGGGAATGTTGTGCACCTCTTGAGATAGGTGAAGATTCGGCGGGCAAAACAGGCGAGGCGCCCATCGACTCCGCGCGCGCATGTTTCGCTTATGTTTCGTCTATGTGTTGCTTTCCTGTCACAAAATATAAGTAAGCACGATAACAAACAATGGGTGGCCGTGGAGGCGCCTGAGTTTTTCCACCAGAAAGGTATAATACATGCGCGAAGGATAGGCCCGCCCCGATCGGTGAAAACGCAAGAACAATAGGTGCGGAATGAGTTGGACCATGGGGCAGCCGGCGGGAACGAGTTAGAATGGCGCGACGCCCCCGGGACGCCCGCGACGGAATGCGGCCCCATGTGGCCTTGCCCCCCCCGCCCCATTCTTGCGTTGAGAGCCCGGCCGCCTCCCGACGCCGGGCAGGCGGGGGGGCGGGCGGGAGCGCGGCGCTAGGCGAGGGGCGCAGCCGCGCGGCTCAGCAGATGACGTCTGCGCCGCGCCACCCCTCGCGGCAATGCGCCCAAGAAGGTTTCGCCGACGTTGGGCGGCGCCTCAAAGGCAACGACCCAATGAAAAAATGCCGCGGCCCCGAAGGGGGCTCCAGCCGTCGCCCCTGATGGGGGGCCCACCGAAGCCCCCAACGGCAGCGACCGCGCGCGGTGCTCGCAAGCCACTCAAGCATTTGCCCAACCGAAAGCCGCAGTGGCAGAGGCTGCGCGCCCTACTTGCACACCCCTCGTACGCTTCGTGGACCCACAGGCGACTCCGTCGAGGCCGCGGTGACAGCGGCCGCGCGCGGCGCTTGCACTCTCCAGGCTCCATCAAAGGTCCCATCGGCATCAGCCGCACGCGGCACTTGCGCACCCCTCGCGCGTTCGATGGCCCGAAAAAGGAAACCCGCCAAAGGTCCTGGCGTCAGCGGCCGCGCGCGCACTTGGGCCCCGGAAGTGGCGGCCGCGCGCGGCACCTGCAGAACCCTCGCGCAGTTCACTGCTCAACGGGGGGCCCGGCCGAATACCCTAGCGGCAGCGGCCGGTCGCGGTACATTTGCGCAACTGACACGTGTGTCGTGGCCCCGCAGGAAGCCCCGCTGAAAGCCCCGACCCCGCTGGCACCGCTCGCGCGGCGGCCCTGGTTCATTCGGCACGCCCCTGTCACGCGCCCCCTGACCCCCCAAAAATTCCACCAGAAACTGTGATCTGAACTGCAGATGGGCGCCCTTCGCCAATAATTCGTTGGACGTGCACAGGCGACGCCAGGCCTCGCACCGCACCAATTCATGGCGCGCCCCCCCGGACGAGAGACCCCAACACCGAACCATGGAAGCCGATGCCGCGCGCCGCTGCAGGACGCATGATCGCCCTGGGCTGCCATGACAAACGGCTTCCCCGACAAGGCAATCGCTGCGCGCCTCAAACACCGCTTGCGCTTGGAGCGCTTACGTCCTAAAACAAAAGTTACTGGTTGTTGTCGGATATGTGTCGGAGCGCTTCACCTGGACATGTGTCGGATATATGTTGTTGGCTACATATTTCCGTAACGTAATTGACGGCCACTTTGAACTTACCCAACATACCAGCACGTCTCCATACTACCTTTATTGGAACCTGCGGTGGTCACCGTGGTAGTGGAAGCCCTATGACTGGCTGCAAGCAGCAAGCCTCGTACCCCATTTTCCCCTCTTCGTGTGGCCCCGAGGGGGACCCCCTGGGGGAACGCCAAGACGGCAAAGGCGTCTACCTCTACACTCCCGCGTCCTGAGCGGAACTGCGAAGAGAAGACAACCGAGGCGACGAGGGCTCCCCAGGACGAGCAGCGGCATCGGTGTCGCTTCCTCCTTTGCTCCTTGTTCTTCGGTGGCAACTCCTGGGGGCCTCCCATACCATCTTGCCGGCTCTTGCAAGTCGACGCTGGTCGACGCCAAATCGACGCTCAATGGACGCCACATCTAGGCAAATCCACGCTCACTCGGCGCCATCTCGGCGACTCCAGACGCTAATCGACGCTAGTCGACGGAGGGTACACCAGGCTCCCATGATTTACCACCGAATCGTCCGCTTCTCCTCGCTTGCGCCAAAACGGCAGCAACTTAAATCAGAGACGAAGCCCGCGTACAAGCCGGAGCATCATTCCGAGACAAGCGCGTCGCCAGAATGCAGGTGTCACGCCCATTCCGCGCGGGCCGGGCTCGGTGCCACCGAGGTCCGGGTCGCGTTCGGTGGGTAGTCCACGTTAGGGGGGGGGGGCTCCTAGATGGGGTCCGAAGAGATGGGGTCGGAGGATCGTGCCGTATTATTGATACAACGCCGATGCATCGGCGATGCATCGGCGATGCACCGGCGAGGCATCGTCGATGTCGGCGATGCATCGGCGACGTCGGCGTGGAGAAAATCGGGCTCCGCATCGAGCCGCATCGCCGATGCATCGCCGATGCGGCGCGACCCTCGGACCTCATCTACTCCGACCCCATCTGGGAGGCCTAAGAGGTGCCTCCTCCTCGTTTGCTCCTCGCCCCCTCCCCCTGCAGCCTCTCCTCCCCCCTTCGCCTGCACCAGGCGCTCGGTGGGTAGTCCACGGTAGGGGGGGGGTATGGGTGCCTCCTCCTCGCTTGCTCCTCGCCCCCCTCCCCCTGCAGCCTCTCCTCCCCCCCCTTCGCCTGCACCAGGCGCTCGGGAGGGGCGAAGAGCAGCCAGGCGGAGCGCATCGCGAGCCCGAAGACGCGTTCCGCCTCCTCGGGGCGGGGCGCGCCCGGCCAGGGGGCCGAGGCCGAGCGGGGCGAGGCGGAGGGCGGGGGGGAGGAGGGCCAGGGGGGGGGGGGGGGGAAGAGAGAGGCAGGGAGGACAGAGGAAGAGGAGAGAGAGAGAGAGAGAGAGAGGGGCAGGAAAGGGGGGCAGGGGAAGGAGGGAGGCAGGGAGCGAGGGCAGAGGGAGGCCGAAAAGGGGGGCGGGCCACGGCGAGAGGCCAAGAGGGCCCCGGGGCCCTTAGGCCGCCGCAACTCTTCCGCGCCCCGAGGCCGCTCTCCGGCTCGGGCCGCGGGGCCCTCACGGGTCGGTGCAGCTCGAGGAGCTCCTCCTCCTCCTCCTCCTCCTCCTCCCCCTCCTCCTCCTCCTCCTCCTCCTCCTCCTCCTCCTCCTCCTCCTCCTCCTCTCCCTCCTCCTCCTCCTCTCCTCCTCTCTCCTCCCCCCCCCCCTCCTCCTCCCCCCTCCTCCCTCCTCCCCCCCTCCTCCCTCCCCCCTCCTCCTCCTCCACAATGCACAATATGAAAATACTCTCCCACTTCCCCTGATGGCGTCCGGAAGATATTCGGCACCCCCCCGCGTATTTTTTTTTACACACAGGATTCCCGGGAAACGGGTTTTCGCTTGCGTTTTTTTCAAAATGCTGCTCTCGCTGAGGCGCCGGCCTCATTTCTGCTCCCGAATCGTTCCGAATCGTGCTCCCGCTGCAGCGTGGGCCTCATTTTCGGATCGGTGTTTGGCCTCCGTCGTTCAGGATGGCGTTCTCGCCCCAGCGCGGGCCTCTTTCTCGCGCGCCCATCCGCCCGCCACCACCGCGCCGCACACACCACCACCAGCACCACCACCACCAGCACCAGCACCAGCACCAGCACCAGCACCAGCACCAGCACCAGCACCAGCACCAGCACCAGCACCAGCACCAGCACCAGCACCAGCACCAGCACCAGCACCAGCACCAGCACCAGCACCAGCACCCACCACACCCACCACCACCACCACCCACCACCACAACCACGCACACACGCACGCACGCACGCACGCGCACCACCACCCACTAGTTACGCACGCGCGCGCGGAGCCACAGGTCCGCTACGACACGCGTCCGCGGATAGAGAAAATAGCGCCATGGTAAGGGATGGGAGGGAGGGGTAGGACGTCAGATATGACGCGAGCGCACCTAGCTTGTCCTCCTCCCCCTCCTCCTCCTCCTCCTCCTCCTCCTCCTCCTCCTCCTCCTCCTCCTCCTCCTCCTCTCCCCCTCCTCTGCCTCCGCCTCCGTCTCCGCCTCCGCCTCCTCCTCCGCAGAGGTCTCGTGCCCAGGGCTCCGGTCGTGGTCTCGGTACCGCGCTGCGTGAATTCTTGCTGGGCGGCGTCGGACCTCCTGGGGGGGAGGACGGGGAGGGAGGCGGCGCAGCGGTCTGTCGTGATCCTGTTGGACGGACTCGCCGCCGCGTGCCCGGGGCTCCGGTCGTGGTCTCTGTGCCACGCTGCGTGATTTCTTGTTGGGCGGCGTCGGACCTCATTTTCGGAGATGGACAGACCTCCCTTTCGTAGAACGTGGTTTAGTGAAAACGACCTGAGGTCCAAACCTGGCGGGCGCAAGCCTGGAAAATAACGGCCGCGGCGCCCTCTCGAGAGCCGAAAACGGATAATTCACTAATCGACGTGTCACTGTTGGGGGTTCTGTCCGCCCCCGACTCACGGGTGGGAGGACGGCGAGGGAGGCGGCCTCGCAGCGGTCTGTCGTGATCCTGTCGGACGGACTAGCCGCACGCATGAGCAGAGATGCTGTTGGAGGTCCGCGCAGATGTCTTCGGTCTGCGCAGGGCGCCCCTTCCCTGGCGCGCTGGGCGCGACAGGCGCTGCGCGGGGGCGCCGCCGGGGGGGTGGGGCCCAGCCCAGGTCCGGCACATCCGCGCGAGGCTTTGAAAGCGTTTGTTTATGCAGTGCTTTGTTGTGGGAATTGGGGGGAGGGAGGGCGGAGGGAGGGCGGAGGGAGGGGGGATGAGGGCGGAGGAGAAGGGGGAGGAGGAGGAGGAGGAGGGGGAGGAGGAGGAGGAGGAGGAGGAGGAGGAGGAGGAGGAGGAGGAGGAGGAGGAGGAGGAGGAGGAGGAGGAGGAGGAGGAGGGGGAGGAGGAGGAGGAGGAGGGGGAGCTTGGCAGCCCAAGCTGTCGCGGCCCCCTCCCCCGGGGCTTTTTTTCGCCTCAGATAGTTTTTTGGGCGCCCTGGCCACACGCTGCCCTTCCGATCCCGTTCCGACGGCGGCCGAAGGGGCCGGGGGGTGGGGGCCCAGAAAAGACCCCCGAGGACCCAAATCGACGGGAGACGCCCGAATTGTAGGAATCATGATGTCGCACCTCATCCTCTCCCTCCCTCCTCCTCCCCCTTTTTGTTCCCCTTCCTCCCATTTGAACACACGTTGGCCGTCATGCCACTTGTTGCACCACCACCACCACTACCACCACCACCCCTCCTCCAACTAGCCTCTGCGCTTCGGGGCGACGCGTTCTGTTGGTTTCGTCGCGGAGGGTAATATGCTGAGAGCATGCTCTGCCCTGCTATGCGAACTCCATTCTTGGCGCCCGCGCCAAGAATGTCTAAACACAAGTGCTGTTTTCCTCAATTGGTGCGTGCTGTGCACGGTTTGGGGTCCATCGCTGGTTTCATTCTGCTAGCAGGAGAAGCCAACATCGAATCGATAAGGCGGATGGGCGATCAAAATGAATCGGATCGGCGGAAATCCGCAGCCGAGTCGGGGAGGCCGCATCGAATCGAACTGGTGGGAATCGAAACGAGCCCTGTGCTGGCCGAGTGCCCTCCACATCCTGGTCAGAGGAGGAGGAGGAGGAGGAGGAGGAGGAGGAGGAGGAGGAGGAGGGGGAGGAGGAGCAAGGAGGAGCAAGCAGGAGCGAGGAGGAGCGAGGAGGAGCGAGGAGGAGCGAGGGAGGAGCGGGGAGGAATACGACATGGAGCCTGCCGCGCGCAAGAAGCATCCGAGGCGACGTCCCCGCCCACCGATGGAGGGCCATCACCTGATCGGATATCCGATGCGAGACAAAGGACATGCAACCTCGCCGGCGGCAGCCGAGGCCGCCGGGGGCGGCGGCGCGCGCGCGCGCGCCCCCCCCGCAGGCGAGGGCGGCAGCGGGAGGCGCCCGCCGCGCCTCGAGCGGCCAGCCCCGCAGGAGCGGCGCGGAGCGCGGCGCGTCGAGGAGCGCCGCCTGCCACCGAAGCTGCTGCTGTGCAGAGGATCCTCCCATGGCCCCTCTGCCTCCTACTATAATCCTCGTGTTCCTCCTCCTCCCCCTGCTCTCCTCCTCCTCCTCCTCCTCCTCCTCCTCCTCCTCCTTCTCCTCCGTCTCTTCGTTTCCTCTCCTTTCTCCTCCCCTTCTATTAATTGTCGTTCCTCCTCCTCCTCCTCCTCCTCTCTCCTCCGTCTCTTTCCGTCTCCTCCTCCTCCTTCTCCTCCTCCGTCTCCTCCGTCTCCTCCGTATCTTCCGTTTCCTCCTCCTCCTCCTCATTCTCCTCCCCCCCTCCAATTAATCGTCGTGTTCCTCCTCCTCCTCCCCCTCCTCCTCCTCCTCCGTCTCCTCCGTCTCTTTCCGTTTCCTCCTCCTCCTCCTCCTTCTCCGTGCTCCTCCTCCCCCCCCACGGGAGCGCCGTCGGCCTGCCCAAGGACACCCCAATCAATGCACACAAATCCCGGGAGTTCCCATTTCGAGTTTTCTGGAATGTCGTCTTCTCCCCCCCCGACTCCCCACATGGTCCCACGGTTTCTTGGGGATCGACGAGGTATTGTGTCTGTGTGTTGTTTCCCCTCCTAAGCCAGCGCGGGCGCCGGTGCGGCGCCCTTCCTGCCGCCGCCAGCAGCGACCCGACCCCAGACAGCTCGGTGGCAACTCATTGGAGCCTTCCGTACCATTGACCGTACCATCTTGTCGGCTCTTACGGATCGATGCTAGTCGACGGTAAATCTACGCTAATCGACGCTAGATCGACGCTAATCGACGCTAGCCGGCGCTAAATCGGCACTATCTCATCGACTCCCATACGCTAATCGACGCTAGTCGACGCTAAAGACATAATTCCGAGGGCAGACAATGCTCCCATGATGTGCTATCGGGAGACAAGCTCGCGTCGCGAAACAATTAACTAGCCTGACGAAGGACCAAATCATGTGCAGCTGCGAGTACCGCATTGTGGGTACCGCTTTCGGTGGAGCTCCTTCTGGGGCCAGGAACTATGTGAGGGGGGTGTGCCGACTTGGGCGCGGTGGTGCCATGCGAACCCTCCCGCTGGAGCCTTCGGTGGAGCTCCCTAGGGCCACGAAACGTGTGAGGGGTGTGCCGAATGGGGCTCGGTGGTGCCATGCGAACCCTCCCACTGGAGCCTTCGGTGGAACTCCCTATGGGGCCACGAGCCGTGTGAGGGGGTGTGCCGAATGGGGCTCGGTGGTGCCATGCGAACCTTCCTTCTGGACCCTTCGGTGGAATTCTACGGGGCCACGAACCGTGTGAGGGATGCGCCGACTTGGATCGGCGGTGCCATACGAACCCTCCCACTGAAACCTTCGGTGGAGCATCCTCTGGGGCCACGTACCGTGAGGGGTGTGCCGACATGGGCGCGGTGGTGCCATGCGAACCCTCCCACTGGAGCCTTCGGTGACGCTCCCTAAATATGGGGCCACGAAACGTGTGAGAGGTGTGCCGGATTAGGTGCGGTGATGCCATGCGAACCTTGCCACTGGGGCCGTCGGTGGAGCGGAGGAGGCGGGAGGAGAACGCGGGGTGCTGTGTCTTCAAAGCGGAGACCCAACACCACAGGATGGTTGGGACAAAAAAAACAAGGAAGCGTGCAGAGGGGTTCGGCCTCCGTAGGGTCTCACGCCAGGTCGCGGAGCTGTCAAAAGGGGGCCCGGGAAGACAAATGCCTGCCTTGGGGAAGAGGTGGGGGCCTGCTCTGGACGCGAGCGCAGGCGCCCCAATCAAGGATATTCTTCTATTTTCGCATGATTGTCGCATTTGCTCCTGTCCGGCCTCCAAGGGGACGCCCAAGAAAGCGCAACAGATGCGGAAGAAACGGAGGACGACTCAGCAACACAGCAACAACCACATGCAGACAACACGGATGGAAGTATCAAGCGACACACACAAAAAATCTGAAGCCGCAACTCTCTTATCTGGAAGAAGGCGGAATGGCGTACCTCTCTTCAGAAGCGGGGGCGCGCAGCATGTGGTCAATATATGCGGTGTAGTGCATACTGCACAGCGGATTACATTGTGCAGTGTGGTGCAAGGCGTGGGATGCGATCCATGTGTTGCAATTCTGGTCTTGCGCAAAGAAGTACTGCAACGTTGTGCCCTCCACGTTGCGCACAGAAGTACTGCAACGTTCGAGTTTTTTTTTCCTGTGGGGCAATCGACGTCGTGCAATCTTCGGGGCCCTCCTACATAAACCACCACCAGGCGACCATAGGAAAGGAACGAATCCTTCGCGCGACCATCCTCACAGGGGTGCCCCCGCCAGCCCCCGCCAAGCGCAAGTACTTGCCACGTGGTCATGCGCGCAGATAGCGGCCGCATCCGGTCGCGAATAATTGCCCCCAAGCACCCTATGGCAACACGGTGGTGGTGCATAAAAGCGATGGACTCCCCCGGGAATTTCCATACACCAGCCCGAAATATACACCACGTGAATGTGTTGTTCTTTGTTCCTGCAACCGTGTGTCCGATTTACGCTGCGCACGCAACCATGTCATTACCGCGAGATTTGACGAAGCCTGCAACCCACCGCCGAAACAAAAATCCGATCAACCCCCACGACAGAAAACCAGCCCGAGGTGGTGATGCATATGCGTGGGCCCCGGACAATATACAGGTTGCAGGCTTTGTGGCACAGCGCACGCGGCGTAAGCAATGTGGTTCAGTCCATGCGCGAGTCTGGAGACGCAAGCCGGCACCGACCCCCCCCCCCCACGAGGTGCCCACCGGCAGCGCGCCGGCCAGCGCGCGGAGGGAGCCTACGAGACGCCCGCCAGCCGGGCACGCCAGCCGACGCAGGGGGCGCCCACGAGGCGCCCGAGGCGCCCACGAGGCGGAACGTCAGAAACGGCAACCAACGCAAGAAAAACCGGGAACGCGGGCCGGCCGAGCAGTGGAAAGCACGACGGGCGACGCGAGGCGCGAAGCTCCAGCGAACCCAGCCTGCGCAGGAGGGGGGCCACGGGGCGGCAACGGGCGACGCCTGGGCGAAGACGCAGGGAACCCAGCCGGCGCACATGGCGGCCATCGGCGACGACTGGGCGAAACCCCAAGGATCTGTCAATTACTTACAACTCAAATCGAGCCCCTTCGCACAAACATTCCCGTGCCTGTCCCGTGCGGCCGCATCCGCGTCGAATCCGTGTCGAATGCATGTCGGACACGTCGAATCCGTGTCGAATCCATGGCGAACCCGCGTCGAATCCACGCCACATCCGCGTCAAGTCCGCGCCGAACCCGCGTCGGGCACACGAGAAGACACTAACTCTGGGACAGGCGAGGTTCCCCGAAGATGCAACGTAAATCTGTCAACTACTTACAACTCAAGACGAGCCTTTTTGTACAAGCACTGTTCTTGTAAAGATACGTGCGTTTATATCATGCCGCATCCTCTCCGTGCGTCTGACGCCGTGTTCGGCATCTCTTCCAGAAAACAGTCGACCAACGAGCAAGAAAAAGCAAGACGCGCAGAGCATGCCTTCTTGAGGTGATAGTCCAGGTACTGCTCCCAGGCGCCATGAATCTCGGCACGGGTACACGTACACACACAGCAGCCGCGCCCAGACGGCGCAGTGGCAGGGAAAATTGCGACAGGTGGCAGCGTGCGATCACATGCGAAAATAATTCATACATTATGAAAAATTGACTATGCTGCAGGTGGCCCAGTTGCCGACCATGGAAAGGCTTTGTATCCTACGGGTGTGCGGCTCAACGCAAGACCAATCACTCCGCGGCCGTCTTTCCAACATCACATCTGGTGACAAGCACGATCGGCCCAACAACACAACCAACACAAAAGCAACCAAGCGCCAATCGCAAGATCAACCCATCCCGCCACCAAGGCATACGAGTTACGGCATGCATCATGCACAAGTACATCCTGAAAACAAACACTTTGACTGCAATGAACGGGCAAACGAGCCAGCATATCCAAAGAAACATATCCCGCACCAGTGTACACATGGCGCTGATGCATGCAACGTATTGGCTATGTCGCGCCTGACTGGTCCTGTTTTTACCTTGAAGACAGATGGTGCTAAAACGCAATTCGACCATTCTCGCCGTGACAACACGACGTAATGATATACTTTGGGCACGCATGGAAGAATCCTGTCTGGTCTGCTTCCAAACCATCTTCAACACGCATCCGTCCTATGGTGGCCAAACCTTGACAGTTAGGAGAGGGACGAACGGGAAGAGGGCGAAGAGGATGACACACTGCCCTGCCCAGGTTACTTTCAGGGGGGCGTAAGACCCAGTTACAGGGGACTCGGAAATCCCCGACGAGGTCGCCAACAAAAATGACGAGGCCGAGCCTGAATTTTGACGAGGCCTCCCGCTGAGACATCCACGAAACTCCTACTCGTCAAAATCCGAGTCGCGGGCGTCAAAAAGACGACGGCGAACCCGAGTCCTGGCAAACCCGGGTCTTACGCTCCCCCGATACTTACGCCGCAAGCCGGACATGCCCAGCCCTACCAGCCCTACTAGCCCTACCAGCCCTACCAGCCCTGCCATGCCCAGCCCTACCAGCCCTACCAGCGGACGAACGGGAAGAGGGCGAAGAGGAGGACACACTGTTCTGCCCAGGTCACTTGCGCCGTACATTGGACATGTCCGAAGGATTGCAAAAAAACCCTGGATTGCAAAAAAAAACTGTTTTTTTGCAATCCTGGGTTTTTTTGCAATTCTTTTTTTTTGTTGCAATCCTTCGTTTTTTTTTGCAATCCTTCGTTTTGTTTAGCTTTGTTCGATTAGCACGAATTTCCCAGACCTGCTGCTGGCCCAAAGGGTGCCTTCCGGTTGTCGCGCCGGTTTGGGGGCCCTGCGGGCCCTCTGGCCTCGCGAGGGGTGCCCGGGAAGCCGTGGGGGTCCCCCTGGAAGTCCTAGGGTTCGGTCGGGCATGTCCTCCTACAGCCCCAGGCGGATTCTGGACGATATATATATATATATATATATATATAGATATATATCGATATGTACAGAATATATATATCACAATAGTACAAAGATGGTCGAACATGGTAGAAGAATCGTCCCCAGACCTTCTTTTTTCTCACCAATTTTTGAATATTCCTCCTGTGGAGGGGCACGCCCGACTTGATCCTATAGAGGCACCTTCGGCCTGTGACCCCCGGCCCACACTCCCCCGGGCCAGCCAAGGCCGTGGGGCGAGCACCCCGGCCGGCCGCACCGCCTGGCGACGGCAGCGGACCACTGCTGCCTGAGCAAGCACCTGCTTCCGGCACTGCTCTCCTCCTCCTCCTCCTCCTCCTCCCCCTCCTCCTCCCCCTCCCCCTCCTGCATTTCTGTCCGTCACTCCTCCTCCTCCTCCTCCTCCTCCTCCTCCTCCTCCTCCAAACTACTAGCGGCACTTTCTGCTGGTCTCGGCGGCGGGAAAGTTCCCTCCGTCCCCCAGGGCGCCGGGGCCAGGGGCCGTCGCTCGCAGGCGTCCGCTGTGTCCATTTTTCCAACGCGGGGTCAGCTTTTCCATCCTGGGTGTCAGCTTTTCCGAACCCGGGGGTCAGCTTTTCCATCATGGGTCAGGCGATGCCCCGACCCGTTCCCCGGGGGTCAGCTTTGCCATCCTGGGTCCTTGCTGAACGGTCCTGGGGCCCGCGAGGGCCCCTGGAGACCGAGGACGGCCAACAGAAACCTTTCGCGACGGGAGCATGCCTGGGCTCGTGTATTGCCACGCTTGGTGTCTGTTCCCTGGGAGCCTCCGCGTGGCCCCCGGCGCGGCCCGATTTGGGACTGCTTTGGACCAGATTTGGAACCCATGTGGGATCATATTTGGGATCAGATCTGGACCAGGTTTGGCCCAGCTTCGCCACTTCACAAGGGAGACGAGAGCAACCAGGCGGGGGAAGGGGCACAGGCAGGGCGAGGAGGAGCAGGAGGCAGAGCAGGAAAAAGCAGTGCGGTCCGAATGCGGTACACGTGTAGGAGCAAGCTGATCTCGATGTCGCTGGCATACAGTAGTTCGAACACAAGAAACCTTCCACAAGACGCCGAACCCTGGAACCCCAGGATGTTCATTGATTCTCTTTGTGGGAACGTCACGCGCTCCTTAGCAACACACTCGAAACCCAAGACACCCAAGGCAGCCTGAAGGCAATCAAAGTGCTTATTGGCATGTGTCTCCACTGTAAACAGACATCGAAATTGCCCGCTGTTGCCGGCAGCCCGAGAACTAGGTCGGGCATGTCCTCCTACGGGCGGAACTTGGAGGGTCAACTAAACAACAGTCCAAAAAGTTCAAAATAGCAAACATTAAATTAGTCGACGGGTCGTTCCCAGGCAATTTTCGACTATGTTTGACCACTCCTGCTGTAGAGGGACATGCCAGACTTAACCCGAGAACGAGAACGCTCACACGCCACCCAATGCTGGCATACAGCCGGCCCGTATCACAGGGATGCGCGACAAGGATGTCAGGGCCTTGGACGCCCATTCTGAAGCTTCCCGAGCGGGGCGCGGCCAGCGAAAGTGGCAGAGGATGGACCGATGAGGCAAGGATGCAAGGGCACCCCTGACCCTTGGGAAGGGTGGCCATCCTCACCATGCGGGTCGACTCTAACTACAGGGGCATTGTTGGCCAAGCAAGTCAAAAGACACTAAAAGAAACTCCAAATAACACAAGGGATCGAAAATAAATCGCCCCCCTATTATCTTTGGACTACTCTTGAATTCTGAATACTCCTCCTGTGGAGGGACACGCCCGCCTTGACTCGCAACAAACGCCGACGCTGAGAGGAGGAGGACCCCATGACCAGATGGGGTCAGTGCCCCCTCGCCTCGGCGAGGAGGAGGAGGAGGAGGAGGAGGAGGAGGAGGAGGAGGAGGAGGAGGAGGAGGAGGAGGAGGAGGAGGAGGAGGAGGGAGGAGGAGGAGGAGGAGGAGGAGGAGGAGGAGGAGGAGGAGGAGGAGGAGGAGGAGGAGGAGGAGGGGGGAGGAGGAGGAGGAGGAGGAGGAGGGAGGGGGGAGGAGGAGGAGGAGGAGGAGACTCTGGAGACTCTGCCTGATCGCGTAGCGATATGATTCAAGTCACTCTGGACCGCACGGTGCGGTGCTGCCTTCCGCTCAGAGGGAAAGCTTCTGGTCGGAAACCTGGGAGTACATCAGCCCGTCGGCATCGAAGCATTTCTGATGGCTGCGCCGAGGTTTGAGAGGAGGTCTCCAACTTCGGTGCCACCAGCCTGGCTTATTTGTGTGCTGGCTGGTTCCCAGATCCATTCGTAGCGGAAAGTGCTGCCTACCCCTCGTTCCTTGTGGACCCATCTTCCTTCACTGCCCGGCTTATCCCGTAAAACGTCTGCATCCCAAAGGAGACGTGCACGCGCCTCGCTGGATTCCCAGCGCGATGGCTTCCGACTGTCGGGCTCCAACTTCTCCTCTCGCTTCTCGCATTGAGGTGTCAACATTTCACCAGATGCAATGAGAGCAACTCGACGTACGAAAGGCTTGGGTTTGAAACGACTGGCTCGAGTGATGCATTGACGGTCAAATTCGTTCCGTTCAGCAGCTCGCTCCTGAAGAAAGGCCTCCTGGTTTGACAGGAAGTCCGTGCATGCTTCACTGGCAACGTCGGGCTGCGACTTCGCCTCCGACTTGCCCTGATCCCAGAATTGCGGGTGATCACATGGGGCTCTAACTTCACATCCCGTTAGATCACACATGTTGGCTGGTTCAGGGGTTAGGTTATAGGTAGTGTCGGGCTCCAACTTCGCCGCACGCTTCTCGCAATGAAGTGTCTGAGCCTCTGGGGCTTGTGTGACGGGCTCCAACTTCGCCGCAAGCTTCTCGCAATGAGGGGTTTGAGCCAGAGCCTCATGAGTTTGTGTGGAGGGCTCCAACTTCGCCGCACGCTTCTCGGCCTGATGTGTCTGGGCTAACGGCGAAAACGTCGGGCGTGAGGCACTGGCGACGTCGGGCAGCGACTCCGCCTCGTGCTTGCCCTGATCCCAGAATCGTAGCTGATCGCGTGGGGCTCTAGCTTCGCCTTCTCTCATCTCGCACGCGCTGGTTGGATCTGGGGCTATGCTGGTAGTGTCGGGCTCCTTCTTCGCCTCCTGCTTCTCGCAAAGGGGTGTCTTCCAATGCACCGTGCGAGAACCACTGGCGACGTGGGGCTGCGACTTCGCCTCCTGCTTGCCCTGATCCCAGAATTGTAGATGATCATGTGGGGCTTTAACTTCGCCTTCCCTCATCCCGCACACGCTGTTTGGATCTGGAGCTGGGCTGGTAGCGTCGGGCTCCCTCTTCGCCTCGTGCTTCTCGCAAAGGGGTGTCTTCCAATGCACCGTGCGAGAGCCACTGGCAATGTGGGGCTGCGACTTCGCCTCCTGCTCGCCCTGATCCCAGGATTGTAGATGATCACATGTGGCTCTATCTTCACCTTCCATCATCTCATACATGGTGGCGGCGGCGTACGGTGACGTCGCCTCACACATGCCCTGATCCCAGAATTGTAGATGATCCTGCCACATGTTGGCCTCCGGAGGCCATGTGCTGCCATGCTGCATCTTGCGTAGCCGCTCCACCTCACGGGTCAGGCGGTGGATGGCTTGTTCGGCCGACCACTGTGCCCATGCCCGTCGGGTTTTGCGCTCGCGTGGGGTGAGTCTCGGGGGCCACTCTTTCCTTGGGCGCCACTCTTCGGCGCCCATCCCGTATCACAACTAAACTCCAGTGTTCGTTAATGTCAAAAGCGGTCGAAAGCGAGACAGCTGCGACAGTATCCCTCAAGCACCACGCGGAGGTCCTGGAGTTGGCCTGGGCAAGAAAGCCTGGGCCGAATTTGCTTGAGGGAGGAGGAGGAGGAGGACGAGACCGAGGAGGCCCGCGCGCGCCGCGGGGCCCCCGGAGCGCCTCGCGCAGCGCGGCGGCCTCCGCCGCGGCGGCGCCGCCCCGGGACAGCGCGGTGGCGTTCCAGGCGGGCAGGGCGGCGGCCAGTCCGCCTCGCCTCCCCTGGGCCGCAGGAGGGCGTGCGACTACACACAGCAACAAAAAAACCACAAGAGCCAAAAACACAACAGGGATCCAGGAAAAACCAAAAGAAGGAGAGAAGAACAACAAAAGGGAAGGACCCAGGAACAAAAACAAAAAGGATACACGTGGCAAGAGAATGAGAGAAACGAATACTTTCAAGGGGCCCAAGGACACACAAATGAAAGAAGAGGGCGTGCGAATGCTTTCAGCGAATACTTTCAAGGGGCCCAAGGACACACACATAAATACACACAGATAAAGAGATTCCCCGTAGTTTCTCACATGTTCCGGGTTGTTGTCTTCCCCCCCGCTTCCAATGGTTTCCCATATGTTGCTGGGGGTCGGCGATTAATTGTGTCTGTGTGTTTCTTTCTTTCCTGAACTTGTTCACGTAGCGAAAGGATGAGAGAAACAAATGAGGGAAGCCAACAACAAAAACAGAAGAACAAGGAACAAAAGAAACGGCCTCAACATGTACCGTTGGCGCTCCGCGCGGACTTCTTGGATCTGCGCTGGCCCGCCCCTCCCTGGCGCGCGGAGCGTGCCAGGGGCGGTGCTGGGGGGGGGTCCAGCGCAGATCCAAGAAATCCGCGCGGAGAGCATAAGGTTTATCTTCATGGCTTTGTTTCTCCTTCGATTTCTGCCAAGGGAGAAGGAAGAAAACTGAAGGGGATGACAACGCGAAGCACACTCGAAGTGACTTCCAAGGTCCGTGGACGAAACAAGTCGGATGATAGAAATGAAGCTCCACCAGGGGGTCAATCCACTCGGGAGGAGGACCTGCTAGTATACCAACTAGGCGCCCCAATAGGATGGGAAGCGCACGTTGAAAGGCGTAGCGCACATTTCAACACATTCAGAACAACCATACAATACAAACTTAGAGTCGACACATACGGGCCCCCTTGGAGGTGCAAGCGAACATACAGTACGAACATCTTATAGTCAGAGTGATGGGGCCGAACGACACTCACGGTCCCCAGGTGCGTGGCTGAAGTGGGGTTCCGCGGGGGAAACTGCTGTTTGTTGTTAGTTGTTGTGCTCGTTTTTGTTGCTGCTGTTGTTGTTTCATTCTCACTCTTGTAACGATCGCTGGTCCCCCCATCGGTGCACCTCGTGCTTGTTCGGTCGAAGTATTCCTCCCAGGGCTCGCACCCTGCTGTTGGTACAACAATATATTGCAGCTGAGATTGGGCCACTGGCCCCCGAACTACAACAACATCAGTTCCCAACCGACACTTTCGCACAAGTCGTTTGAGGATCGCGCTCTTGCGCCCTCTCCACAATCTATGCAGCAATAGTTGTCTCGCGTGAGACTTCTTCCACTTGATTCAAACGCCGCGACCTCGACACTCAGGAATCACGCTCTCGTTTAGGCCTTTCTCGCACTAGGGAGTCGCGCTTTCGCGCGGGACCTGCTCGCGATTCATGCAGGACGCGCGCTTCAGCAACCCGCCTGCTCGACCTGGCCGCCTGGGCCCGCCTCCCCGACCCGCCCGTTTGGGCGTGCCCTCCCGATCTGCCCGTCTGGTTCTGCCATGTGTTTTCTGCGCCGAGCCCCCCTCCTGCTCATCTCTGTCGTGCTCCATCATCCTCTCTCTCCCCCTTGACTCTTCCTTCCATCCGTCCTGTCTTCCCCTGCCTTAGTTAGGGACTGCGCGAAATGCACGGTGCAAGTAAGGAGGCCCTACCCCAAGGGGGTATGATCGAAAACGACGAAGGCGGGTAGCGAGGGTCTGGGATATACGTGTTTAATGGTACACGAGCAAATAAGAACGAACAAGATTACATGATTGTCGTTGTTTTTATCGTCGTCCCACTCGCGACCTGGCCCGCGACCCACCCGCAATCCGCCTCAGACCCACCCGCGACCCACCCGCGACCCACCCGTGACCCACCCGCGACCCACCCGCGACCCACCCGCGACCCACCCGCGACCCTCCCGCGACTCACCCGCGACCCACCCTGCGCCCGCCCCCTCAAACTATTTAATCCGCAACTGCGGGGGGTGCTGTAACATGCATCGTCGCCCAGGCGGCATGTCACAACGCTCGTCACCGAGCATAATTATACCATAAGATCTCTGAGGGGGGTGGCGACGCACACAGGCACAGGTCGACGTACGTTTGGGTGATGCCGATGTCGATCCCCCCCTCGGGAGAGAAGCCAGGATCAGCTGGCACCGAATCCGGAAACTGGGAGCGGATTTCAAAGGAAAGTGATTCGATACCGTCTCCTTTCCCTTGGGTTCGCTTTCTTGGGCCTCTGGGAGGCCCTTGTCAACACGGCTGGATTCGTCTCGAAATGCTCATCAGAACGCGCCCCGCGAGAAGTCGGGGTTGCAACGGTACCTTTTTCGTGTGTGCTCCCAAGATCAGGTTTTGTACATCCGCACGCAATCGAGATCGAGCCGGATCGGCCACGACCGTGAGCACAACAGCCCATGTGAGCATCGGGTCGCATCTAATTGCCTGGAGCAAAAAAAATAAGCCCGATCGGGCCGCTTAAGTCGACAATCGGATCGGCTGGTTCAAGATAAACGCTGGACGGGTGGCACTGGTCGTCGTCGTCGTCATCGTCGTCAGTCGTCTCGTCGGTCGTCAGCGCCGTCGTCGGTCCTCGGTCGCCTCGTCGGCCGTCGGCGCCGTCGTCGTGGTCGGTCGTCGTCGGTCGCCTGGCGTGGGGCGTCCGCCTTGCCTCCCTTTCGGCTGGCGCGGTGGTCCGTGGCCACGCACTCTGGCGAGACTTAGGTAGGGCATGTCCCCCTTAGATGCGGATTTCGGACGGAAAATGGAGAATAACCAGAACAAATTTACACATTGTCAGAAAAGATCAAACAATCGTCCCGGCACCCTGGCTTGCCTATTCTTCACTAGTCCTCCTGTAGGGGGGCATGCCCGACTTGAGGCGAGGCCTGGCTCTGCGGAAGCCTGGCCTGGCCGCCTGAAGGCGAGGCGACCTGCCCCCGTTGAACGCAGGCGCGGGCGGCGCGCCCGCCAGCAGGCCGGGCGACGGGGGGGGGGCGACGAGGCCTTCGGCAGTTTGCGAGGCTCTGTAAGAGCCTGCCGCAGGCGCCGACTTGAAACCTTCCCCACATGCTTCGTGGGGTTCTGGTTTTCTTCCCTGCCGCGCCGCACCCGCGTCTCACCTCACCTCACACCTCTCTCTTTCTTCCTCCTCACTCACCTCACACACACACTTCACTCTTCCCCCCTCGTCACAGCACTGCTTCACTCTTCCCCCCTCAGTCACAGCACTGCTCAGCTCAGCTCAACTCACCTCAGCACAGCACAGCACAGCTCAGCTCAGCTCAGCACAACACAGCTCGGCTCAGCCCAGCACAGCTCAGCACAGCCCAACACAGCTCAGCTCAGCACAGCACGGCACAGCTCGTGGCACTTTCTCGACACCACAGGGGGTGCGCAGGGGGTGGTCTCTCAGCTCGGCCGCTATCCACGACACTGGCGCAAAGCCTAGCAGGCGTGGCACTTCTCGACACCACAGGGGGTGCGCAGGGGGTGGTCTCTCAGCTCGGCCGCTATCCACGACACTGGCGCAAAGGCTAGCAGGCGTGGCACTTTCTCGACACCACAGGGGGTGCGCAGGGGGTGGTCTCTCAGCTCGGCCGCTATCCACGACACTGGCGCAAAGGCTAGCAGGCGTGGCACTTTCTCGACACCACAGGGGGTGCGCAGGGGGTGGTCTCTCAGCTCGGCCGCTATCCACGACACTGGCGCAAAGCCTAGCAGGCGTGGCACTTTCTCGACACCACAGGGGGTGCGCAGGGGGTGGTCTCTCAGCTCGGCCGCTATCCACGACACTGGCGCAAAGCCTAGCAGGCGTGGCACTTTCTCGACACCACAGGGGGTGGGCAGGGGGTGGTCTCTCAGCTCGGCCGCTATCCACGACACTGGCGCAAAGCCTAGCAGGCGTGGCACTTTCTCGACACCACAGGGGGTGCGCAGGGGGTGGTCTCTCAGCTCGGCCGCTATCCACGACACTGGCGCAAAGGCTAGCAGGCGTGGCACTTTCTCGACACCACAGGGGGTGCGCAGGGGTGGTCTCTCAGCTCGGCCGCTATCCACGACACTGGCGCAAAGCCTAGCAGGCGTGGCACTTTCTCGACACCACAGGGGGTGCGCAGGGGGTGGTCTCTCAGCTCGGCCGCTATCCACGACACTGGCGCAAAGCCTAGCAGGCGTGGCACTTTCTCGACACCACAGGGGGTGCGCAGGGGGTGGTCTCTCAGCTCGGCCGCTATCCACGACACTGGCGCAAAGCCTAGCAGGCGTGGCACTTCTCGACACCAAAGGGGGTGGGCAGGGGGTGGTCTCTCAGCTCGGCCGCTATCCACGACACTGGCGCAAAGCCTAGCAGGCGTGGCACTTTCTCGACACCACAGGGGGTGCGCAGGGGGTGGTCTCTCAGCTCGGCCCTATCCACGACACTGGCGCAAAGCCTAGCAGGCGTGGCACTTTCTCGACACCACAGGGGGTGCGCAGGGGGTGGTCTCTCAGCTCGGCCGCTATCCACGACACTGGCGCAAAGCCTAGCAGGCGTGGCACTTTCTCGACACCACAGGGGGTGCGCAGGGGGTGGTCTCTCAGCTCGGGCGTGCGCAAAGCCTAGTGCGTGGCACTTTCTCGACACCACAGGGGGTGCGCAGGGGGTGGTCTCTCAGCTCGGCCGCTATCCACGACACTGTCGCAAAACCTATCAGGCGTGGCACTTTCGCGACACCACAGGGGGTGCGCAGGGGGTGGTCTCTCAGCTCGGCCGCCATCCACGACACTGGCGCAAAGCCTCGCAGGCGTGACACTTTCTCGACACCAAAGGGGGTGGGCAAGGGGTGGTCTCTCAGCTCGGCCGCTATCCACGACACTGGCGCAAAGCTTTGCAGCCGTGGCACTTTCTCGACACCACAGGGGGTCTCTGAGCGCGGCCGCCACCCACGACAGTGTCGCAAACC